CTATTTAGACCCCCCAATATAAGTTTTTTTTTTAATGCCTATACATATATATATATATATATATATATATATATATATATATGATTAGGCATTACAAATAAATTATATGTATAAGGAATACATTTCAATCACTTCCCATTTATTACTTTATTTACTAGGATTACTTATACATTTGTGATCACGTCCTATTTATTTACTTATTTAAATTCTTTAAATGTTTTAAGTGATCCTATTAAGCCTACCCAAATCTAAGTGTTGTAGTTATCTTAACAGTCTTACAAAATTGAGGGTATTGAATTCAATATTTAATAAATGTTAATCTCTAATCTAAACTCTTAAGTTTTGTCATGAACGAAAAAGATGAATTAGCCTATTTTAGTTGCAAACATAAAAAGTCCTGAATTTTCTTAAAAGGAAAATGTTTACCGTTTAACCCCATGTGTGTTTCAAATGCTTCATGTCCACTTCACATTGATTGGATTAAATAAGCCCTTCAATTATGATTTAATTGATTAATCCGACTAACCAATAATAATAATAAAAAACTGCTAATCAGATTGGATTCCAGTTTTAATATTTGGCATTTTTCAGCAAATCTTCATGGTTGTCTCTCTAACCAGGTCTCTCTCACCAGCTCATGACATAAAACCTCTGCACAAATTCCTTTAAGACTGATGGACTGCAGATGTAGACGTGTTATCATACCATACGTATGGAAAGTTTGCACACATCTGGATTAACAGAAGATAACTGAAACATCTAACACGTGATATATTATGTGGAATGAGAGTGGTTTATGTGAAGAGTTGCATGGAATGTTTACCTCCTGACTGTATATGTCACTTCTGAAGTGAAGTATTAGATCCTGGCTGCGTCCCGATTCATATGCTTGCAGTACACACTAGAATTGTGTTCTGGTGGCTAGGAAAGTACGTATATACTGTACTTCTAATTATGCAGTTTTGGCACATAACACATTCATACAATAGTGGCTGGATACTTGATACTTATGTTGCATATAAATGTGCATTTATTAGGCTTATAATTTCATATTATTTCACTTATGTGCTAGTTTCAGCTTTTCTTAGCAGTTTTTCTACAGCTGAAAAAAGAGGTTGTGGGACCACAATGATCTAAAATAATATACCAAAATATTAAATAATAAAATTCCTATTACTTGTTTCAGTTTTTATAACCATTTCTTACTATGTGTAAGTTGTTGTTTTTTTAGCATGTGTTTGGCAGTGTTATTTTTTTAGAATAACTGATAAACTACTGTCGTTTGATTTGTATTATTTGTTATATATTTTAATTTTAGTTAAATTATGTCTGAATTTATTATGTCTGTATAGGTCTTTTATTAAGTTTTAGTTTTATTTAATTTGAGTTATTTTAATACTTCAACAAACTAAATGGAAATGAATATATATATATTGAATTTATAAATGTGTATGTGTGTGTGGCTGTACATACACACATGTAGTTGTTCTTTTGGTGTTTGGCTTAGTGTTATGTTAGAATCATTATTATACTCTTATACCTTTTTGTTCTTTAATATTTTGAATTGTTTTTAGCTTTATTTTTTGTTTTTCATTTAAATGTTAAGTTTTTAAATTTTGTTGTACGCATTTGTCATTTTTATTTAATTTCTTTATTTTTAAAATGTGTATAGGTAGTATTTATAAAGTTTTAGCTTTTAGTTTTCTGTTTTTAGTTGTTTTAATACTACAGTCGATTGCTTCTGTTGTCCTCGTTTGTAAGTCGCTTTGGATAAAAGCATCTGCTAAATGACAAAAAAAAAATTATAATAATATCTTATCAGCCATTGAAATGTATTGTTAATTTTTGTGTAATTATACATAATGTATTTTGTAAAAATAAAACAATTATAGTAATAAATAACTATTATATGTTTATTTATATATTACATATATATATATTTAAATTAGCATTTTTTTCACTGTAATTATTTTGATGTCATGTTACATCATATATGAGATCATTTGTTCTGCATATTATCTGCATTTTTGTATTTTAATATAAGAGATAATCCACAAGAATCCACACTGCTTTCTGTAGTAATCTTTCATTTGAATGGCTGATACATCAGTGATCAGGGTCAGACTACTGCAGTTTAAACCCTGTATGAAATGGTGCACTTCCTAATAAATCGTCACCTTGGAATTATAAGGTTCTGTCCGCATTCTGAGCAGTTTTGAGATATTGAGCTTCAAAGTGTTTGCACTCCATATAGTGAAATGGGATATGGGGAACATCTCTTTCATACATCAGTCCCAAAATGTACACAACTTAAAAAAACAAAAAAAACTTCACATAATGTAAATAAGTCACAGAATAAGAATATGTGAATAACTCAATGTTGACAAAAACGGCAGCTAGAATCTTATAATTCCAAGGAGACGAAATGTCCTGTGAGTTTGTGGGATTGATGGGAGTCTGGCAGTTATGTGTGGGTTAGCAGAAGATAATTTGCGTATCAGTATTTGAGTATTTGCATATTTACAAGTTAGCAGCAAGGTACAATAATAAACATAGAAACACAACATTACGATGAGCAAAATAATTGAAATGACAAATGCAGTGCCTGTTTTTTTAAATACAATTTTATTTGCCAAAGTTTCAATCTAATGACCCATTAAAGAGGTCAAATTAATGTTGACATGCTAAATTTGATCATTCATTTACAGATTTGCAGCCCTGTGTTATTTCTAGTAACGTAAAGGAATCAGACTGCTGCAGCTGTTCTTGTTATGATGAATTAATGACATTCATTTGCCAGCACCGCCGGTTTAATGTAAATATTATGTTTAAAGAGTTTCTTCACCATATTTGGTTTAGTAATCTAATGACCTCAGCGACAGCCTTATGATAGTCTAAGCAATGTTTACTAACACAAGCAAATCGGTGCTATAGTTTAATGCTCCTCGGATGATGGTAAACATCCTGCTCAGCTGTATTTGTGCATGTTGTGGTGACATTGCTATTTCGATATTAGGTGTGTAATAAGATTGATGCTCACCTCTGAGTCCTCTTTGTTCAAAGTTGCATCAAAGCTAAAGAGATGACTTGATTTGAAGAAGTGTGTCTGTGCTTAGCATTCTTTATCCGAATCAGCGTCCTCTAATTTGGCACTTCCTGTTTATATTGAAAGCTCTACCCATAAACCTCAAGGGAAAAAGCAAAGAGTTTGTTTTAAAAGAGTTAAAACAATTGATCACTGCTGTTAAAACTTTTAAATGTAACCTTGGTAAACATTTAGATACGTGACAATGTGTAGCTGCTTAATGAATTTGTGAAACTGAAGCTGACGGCATGACATTTATGTGTTAAGAGTGAACAGCAAACCATACTTTAACTTCAAATCAGAATTAATTTTGCAGCCTGCCATAATTCAGCCATCTGTTTTTTTGTTGTTTTTTTAGGTTTAGAAAAGCCAAGGAAAAGTATAAAATCTATAAATCTATAAATGATTTATTTTCCTACGTAATTAGTAATATGCATTGCTAAGGACTTCATTTGGACAATTTTAAATTTATATTTAATTTATATTTATATTTATATTATATTGATTTTCTCAATATATATATATATTTTTTACACCCTCAGATTCCAGATTTTTCAAATAGTTGTATCTCGGCCAAATATTGTCCTATCATAACAAACCATACATCAATGGATAGCTTAAATGAATATTTATTCAGCTTTCAGATGATGTATAAATCTCAATTTCAAAAAATGGACCCTTATGACTGGTTTTGTGGTCCAAGGTCACATATTATATAGTTAATTAATTAATTCATTCATGTATTTAATAAAACCAATCTAATAAGCTAATTGGGTAAAAATTTAATTAATTTCTAAAATTATTGATTTATATAATTGAGAAATATTACGGAAATTTGTTTGGTCACAAAGAGTGGCAACCCTGATAATTGCAACAATACTGGAAACACAATTTGCAGTGATGAAGATCATGGCTGTGCTGTGAAAATCTTACACTAGTCTTTCTCATATAACACAACAGGCTTGATTTGATTGGCGGTTGTCGTAGAGGTTAAAACAGTCCGCTGTAGAGCAGTCGCATCCAAGGAGTGTTTTCTTCTATTATAGATGCTGCTGACTTTCCTCTTGAAATACTTTCCTGAGCAAACATACAGCGCCGGATTCAGGCAGCTGTTTGAGAATGCAAGGTACACAGAAAACTGGCTTCCGATGTTTAGAAAGTGAGACCACTCATTCTGATCCAAAACCTTCAGATCACAGAGTAAGTCTAGCAAAGTCATGAAGTGAAACGGACCCCAGCAGATGAGGAAGAGCAGGGTGACGGCGCACACCAGGACCGTAGCCTTCTTGTCGTTTCTGTCCTCACAATAATCGATGTGTCTCCGTCGCTTCAAAGCCCGGATGATATTGACGCAGCAGAACGTGATGACCAGGATCGGCAGAGCAAAGCCCACCAGGTTCAACTGCAGAAGATGAGCATTGTAATGCAGCATATCTACCAACAGAGGGCAATCTGAGTCAACCGCTTCTGCAGACACTGTATGACTGTAACTGTCAGATAAGTTCTGTATTCACAAAAATTTAGTTGTGATGCTCTGGCAGAATAACTAATACTAGTAACACTATCACAACTAGTCTTCACTTGATGTTTTGAGGAGTAATAGTTTTTATATTTAATATGGAATGCATTTATGAAATGTCAGTAGTGATTATTTACCTTGGATGTTAGCCGTGCAGTTCTGTTGACAACATGAGATCAGATTCTGTATACTCTGCAGAGCTGTTAAACCAGTGTTATTTCAGTACAGTTGAAATACTACAGCTTTTATTAATATTTTAGTTTTGTTTTTATTTACCCTAAGCACACAGCTAAAATAATGAAGGAGTGGCTTCACAACAACTCTGTGACTGTTCTTGAATGGCCCAGCCAGAGCCCTAACTTAAACCCAATTGTGCATTTCTGGAGAGACCTAAAAATGGCTGTCCACTAACGTTTACCATCCAACCTGACAGACCTGGAGAGGATCTGCAAGGAGGAATGGCAGAGGATCCCCAAATGCAGGGGTGAACAACTTGTTGCATCTTTCCCAAAAAGACTCATGGCTGTATTAGATCAAAAGGGTGCTTCTACTAAATACTGAGCAAAGGGTCTGAATACTTAGGACCATGTGATATTTCAGTTTTTCTTTTTTAATAAATCTGCAAAAAGGTCAACAATTCTGTGTTTTTCTGTCAATATGGGGTGCTGTGTGTACATTAATGAGGAAAAAAATTTACTTAAATGATTTTAGCAAATGGCTGCAATATAACAAAGAGTGAAAAATTTAAAGGGGTCTGAATACTTTCCGTACCCACTGTATATAATAACCAACATATCTGGATTAAAGACTTAAATCTGAACATAAGTGACCTTGCTTAAGTTTACAGAACCTCATGGCTCATTTCTAAAAGTAGAACTGTACATTTCTGAGAGTAAACTCATTTCTAAAAGTGAACTGATAGTTCACTCAACCCCTTACCTAGGGTAACCATACGTGCAGTTTTTCCCGGACACGTCCAAGCCAGGATTTGTATATTGCACCTCAGACAGGTACAAAATACAGCTGAAAATCAAATCCACGGGGTTAAAGTGTTGCATGCAAATGTTTGAAGCGCTGGCGATGCAGCCAAGAGATGGTATTTTTAAAGAAGGAGGTTTTGTTTTACAGACGGTGATGAATTTATACCACTAATATATGCTTTATTTGAGGGAATGCTGTCAGATTACAGTACAGCCACCCATCCGCAATCATGAAGGTCCCACCACTCTGTGTTACCAACCGCAGTCCTCTAAAAAACATGTCTGGCCATTGAGGGATCGCTGGAAAAACACTATTTAGGAGGTTGTTATTCATAGACACACAAAAAGGAACGAGTGAAGAGTCATTACTGGAAAGTCTGTTCTTTAAAAACCAACTAGTCATTTTCTTACACTGGAAACAAACAGACACAGTCTGCAGAAATCACCGTCTGTCCGTCTCTGTCTGATATTTAACATGCATTACACAGACACAAAGTGCCATGATATTGCCATGTTTTTTGAACAAGTACCACAGTAGTGTCATTGTATTCTCTGCAATATTTTGTAAGGATAAATATATGTTTACATTTATTTAGCACACACTTTTATCCAAAATGACAAAGAAACATCTGTGCAACCTTGAGTTTTAATTATAAACGTGATGTTTAATGTAATTGTACTTAATTTGGGATATTGAAGTTAACTCAGATTAAAACCATTTGTGTTACTTAAAATTAAAAATGTAAATAAAAATTAATAAAACCATAAACAATAATAATAAATTGGCAAAAGCACAAAACTAAATGACTAAAACTTTAACTTAAAATTAAAACGCAAAATATAAAAATACAAAACTAATTCAAAATATTAATAAAAACTATATATAATAGTTTCACAGTGATACTAAAATAACACTGATTTGACGGTATTTTACTATTATTCCATTAATATCAGAGATATACAAAAACTTTCTTTACCAAAAAAACACCACAGACATTTCTGATTTTTGGCATCTCAAAACATAAAATGAAAATGTACATTTTTATTTACAACATTTCAGAATCACATCAAAATGACATATTAAACAAACAAAATAATAATAAACATATTAATTAACATATTAAACATACAAATAAATTATAACTTTAATGTGTAACTATGGACATTTTATACATAATGGCCTTAATATTTTGTGATGGTCTTTACATTTGATGTAAGATTTACGCAAACAATTTTCACTTGATATTTGCTAGTACATTTTACAAATAATTATGAAGAAACGGAAAATAACATTGAATTTAATGTGAAATAGAAAGACTGAAATAGCATTTTACAGCATAGCACATCAAACAAACATTATAAATTATCATTTTAATTTGTGCCTATGGATGTTTAATACGTAATGTTCTTAATATGTTGTGAAGGTCTTTAAGGTTGAGGAGAGCTGTGATCTTGTAGAACCGCTTGTCGAATCATTTTTTTTCTCCTTAAGCTGCTTCATCAGCTCTATGACTTTCTTCCTGAAGTTCTTGCCCACGATCACGTAGAGTATGGGGTTCAACACGCTGTTGCTCAAAGCCAAGTAGGTGAATATCTGATTGGAGACGTCCAGACCGGATGCAAAGTCACATCCGCCGAAGACACCGAAGCGCATCAGGATATCCATGAGGGTCACGAGGTGGAACGGCACCCAACACAAGAGAAACACCATCAGCACCACCAGCACCAGGATGGTGGCTTTCCTCTCAGTGTTTTCCGCATTGAAGCGGTCGATGACCTGCTCGCGCAGAGCTCGGATGATCTTCAGAGTGCAGTAGGAGATCACCAAAAATGGGACGATGAAGCCTAGCAAGATGAGAAGAATGTCGCAAGCGAGGCCAATGTTGGGGTTCGGATAGTTCAAAATACAAGCCGTGATGTTCAGCTCCGGGATGAACTGAGTGTCCCGGAAATGAAGCGTTGGGTAGTTGAGGATTAATCCGAAAAACCAGACGGCGATGCAGTTGAGCTTGGCGTACCGCGGTCGTCTCATTCTACCACGTGACAAAGCGTGGACGAGTGCGACATAGCGGTCGCCGCTAATCAACACTAGTAAGTAAATACTGCAAAGCATGCTCATTTTGATGCCTGTGTTGACTAGTCGGCACATGAGCGAGCCGAATCGCCAGTTAAACCCATCTGCGATGTTGATGGCCCAGAACGGCAAACATGAGACCAACAGGAGGTCGGCAGCCGCCAGATTCCCCAAGTAGATTTCCGCCACCGTACACGCTTTCTTATGCAGGCCGAAGACCAGCAGGACAAAGATGTTTCCCAGGATTCCCAGCACACAGATGATGAACATGTAAGCAGGCTGCATGATGTACAACCAGTCCCACACGTCCCAATGTGGACACTGGGTGTCGTTGGTGAGGTTGTTCCTGGAGACGGCCGTAGGGATTGTGGAAAGGATGGATGATGTTGTTAATTGTATGTCGTTCTCCATGTTTCTGTGGAGAGATGTTCAGTGTCAGTTTTTACTTTTAATCGCTTTAAAGGAAGTCTCTTCTGCTGCCCAAGGCTGCATTTATTTGATCAAAAATACATGAAAAATTTTGAAATATTATTATAATTTAAAATAACTGTTTTCTATTGTATTATATGTTAAAATGTAATTTATTTCTGTGATGCGCAGCTGAATTTTCAGCATCATTCCTCCAGTCTTCAGTGTCACATGATCTTCAGAAATCATTCTAATATGCTGATTTGCTGCTCGAGAAACATTTCTGATTATTATTAGTGTTGAAAACAGTTGTTCTGCTTCATATTTTTGTGGAAACAGTCATGCGTGTTGTTTTTCAGGATTCTTTGATGAATAGAAAGTTCAAAAGAATCTTTCGCAACTTTTAAGTGTCGTCACTTTGAATACCTATTAGTAAAAAAGTATTCATTTAATTTGTTTGTCACCCCCAACTTTTGAATGGTAATGTATCACGGTTTCCACAAAAATATTAGGCAGCATGACTGTTTTCATTATGACTGTTATGCAGCAAATCAGCATATTATACTGATTTCTGAAGATCATGTGACACTGAAGACTGGAGTAAAGATGCTGAAAATTCAGCTGTGCATCACAGAAATAAATAGCATTTTACTATATATTCACACAGAAAACAATTATTTTAATTTATAGGAATATTTAGCAATTTTACTGTATTTCTGATCAAATAAATGCAACCATGGTGAGCAAGAGACATCTTTTAAAAACATTTAAAAATTTTAATTATTCCAAATTTTTACTCACAATTTTAAGGAATAGTTCACTTGAAAATTCACCCCAAATTGAAATGGCGTTTACTCAGCCTCATGTCGTTTCAACCCCATATGCCTTGATTTTATTTTTCACATAAAAAAGGAAGTCATAGTGGTTTTTAACAGCTTGTGGATGAGTTACTGTACTCCAGGAATCCTGGAAGTTGCATCCCTATGGTATGAAAGCATTGTGTAGTTGCATGATATTTCTAGTGTGATTAGGTAAACCGTCTGTCAGGCTGCGGATTAGGTGGAAAAACAGTGGGAGAACTTACAACATTGAATTTTTTTTACAGCTTCTTTGATCAGTTAGAAGTTTGAATCTTGACTCACTAATCGCAGTTAACCAGGGTCCGGTTGCTTAAAAGGTTTAGACTAGTCTTAGAAGTTAGTCATCAATTTTTGGTTTCTTTAAGACTGGTCTGTTTTTTTTTTTATTCAGTTACATAAACTTAGATTAGTCTAAACTGAATCCCAAAAATAAGACTTATTACCCTTTGGCTAACTGATAGTTGATCAGACTAGTTCTTAAGACTGTCTTAGAGGCTAAGTTTATGCAGCTGGCCCCTGCACTAAGTCTTATTTGTGTCTGTTTATCTCAGGATGTGAATTATGGGACTGTCTGAAACTACTAATTAATGTGTGAACTAATACACTAGCATGCAGAAGTTTGTGGTCAGTGAGGTTTTTAATGTTTTTGAAAAAAGTCTCTTCTGCTCGCCACGGCTGCATTTATTTGCTCAGAAATACAGTAAAAACAGTGAAATATTATTACAATTTAAAAATCTGTTTTCTATGTGAATATATTATAAAATGTCATTTATTTCTGTGACGCAAAGCTGAATTTTCAGCATCATTCCTCCAGTCTTCAGTGTCGCATGATCTTCAGAAATCATTCTAATATGCTGATTTGCTGCACAAGAAACACAATATTTTTGTTGAAACCGTGATGCATTTTACTTTTCAGGATTGTTTGATGACTAGAAAGTTCAAAAGAACAGCGTATATGTGACATAGAAATCTTTTGTAACGTTATGAATGTCTTTACTGACACTTTTGATCAATTTCATGCATTTCTTTTTTTTTTGGAAAAAAACACATTACTAGTTAGTCAGCGTGCATATGTACAATTTAAATTGACAGTCAGAAGCACAAGTTGTGTTCACTAATGAGGTAACCATAGCAACAGTCAGCCGCTTTAGTACTTTACCTTGGGATTGTTAGTAAAACATATATACCATCATGATTTATCACTTTATTGTTGATTTGCATAATGCAAATATATCACAAAAAGCATTTGAAAAGTGAAGAAGAAACATGATTCAATATTAACGGCTGACACCTTTTTCTTTTCTTTTCAGGCATTCAGACCAATCAATAATCAATACAGATTAACCTGGCAATAATGTACATTTTGATTAATACGTTTAGAAAAATCTGCCAAATATGTAATGCAGTTTTAAACAGAATTAAAAATGCTAAAACGTCTCTTGCTTTTGCTTGTCTCTTCAGCTTTACTTTTTCTTTTTTCCCCTGTTCTTCTACTTCAGTAGAAACAGAACATGTTGTTTCAGGACCTTCCTTTGAGCCAATATGTTGTAATAGTTTTTTGGCTCGTTATCATTTGAGCAAATCAAAATTAAAGCACAAGAATTTAAGCTCTCCAGCGCAGTGGACACATCTGATCCTCACAGCAGGTAAATTCAGTTAAAATGACCCGTCGTTTGACAGACATCTACACATGGTTTTGTCATTGAAACAGTGCTGTACGTACCTCACTCCTCCAAAAAGCAAATCCAGATGTGTGTTTCTCCCACGGATGTGCTGCTTTCCTGCGTGCCGTGCTTTAGTGAGCACACGGCATGGCCTGACTCTTAAAAGAGTGGATCCACGTTACTCTGATGTCAGTCCTGGTCTCCACCCTCCAGCTTTTCCCTCCTGTTTTTACTGGAAAACCCAGAAACAGCCGTCTGGAGTCGAACAAATACACAACACAGCATATTTCCCTTTATTGGTCAAGATACAGAGAGAGACAGAGTCTAGGGGTGTCTGTGACCCCTCAAGTCTTTCTTTAATGGGCTTTAATCTCGCTTGGCAGTTTATTTGTCAGTTTTAATGCTCTGAATCAGAGAAATAAAGTCACGACCTCGTAAAAGTGTGTTTATAAATCCACCAACATCCCAGCTGCTGCTGACATCATTATGGGGGTGAAAACAGAAGTGATTTCGAGTGATGAATCTGTGCCAGAAACCAATCTGCTGCTTTTGCATTTGCATTTGATATTTTATACTTGCTGTTTAAAACTGAGGCAAGCATCTCTTTAGGCTCAGGGACTCTTTTTGAAGTTTATTGACAGATTATTGGAGTAAGTTTTACAATACAATACCATTTCAGTCTTTCTTCTTCACAATTGTATGTTTAATATAATGTTACTTGCTGTTTCTTTGTAACTAATTGTGAGATTTACTATCAATTTCTGAGTAAAAAAAAATCCAAAAGCAAGGAAATTCCAATGTGAAAAATGGAACGTTCACCGAGAATTTTATTTAAAGGGGTCATATGATGCGATTTCAAGTTTTCCTTTCTCTTTGGAGTGTTACAAGCTGATTGTGCATAGATAAGATCCCTGAAGTTGCAAAGACTAAAGTCTCAAAACCTAAGAGATATTCTTTTTCAAAGTTAAGACTCTGCCACACCCCCCTAAAACGGCTCGTTCTAACACGCCCCCACATATCTACCTCACTATGTGGAAACATTTGCATAATGCGCCCAAATGTGCACGCACAGAAAGAAGGCGTGGTTTCAGTAACAGCAGTTAGTGTTGAAGCAGCATGTCAGGGAGACGCTGTGTGTTTCTAGGTGAAAGCAAAAGCACTTTATTTGGCCTTCCGAAAGTAGATGCATTTAGGAATCTTTAAGATTACTTACAACAGAACAGCAATGCATTTTATGAACGACCGTTTCGTGAACCTAGGAGAAGAGGTCATTCTGACTTTGCTATGACAATCTGGCGCTTCTGAATCAGCTACTGTTTTGTTATTAGTTGAAGTATTGACTGTTCAAATGCGCATCATGTGTGTGTGTGTGTGTGCGCGCATCACAGTAGGGTCCGCTGTCTTAACCGTGGCTTGTGTACTGCAAACACATACCAGCTTCATCACTGTGTCTGTCACAGTCTCTGTTCCCCTTTCGGGCTTGAACTGATGGTAAAACTAATTACATTATTTACTGTCTTTACATTTATTTTGAAAGATGAAGCTCGCGATTATGGTAGGGGCATTACATTTCCAACGAGTGCTTGCGGTGTTCGGCCAATCACAATGCACTGGGTCAGCTGGCCAATCAGAGCAGACTGCACTTGTCGGAAGGAGGGACTTTGTAGAAAACGAAGCGTTTGAGAGAGGCGGGGCATAGAGGACCTACAATAATGTACAGTATTTGAAAAATAATGTGTTTTTTGAACATTAAAGCATGTCAACATATTCTGTTACACCAAATACACAAAATAATGATCTTTAAAAAAGCATCCTATGACCCTGTTAAAAAAACATTTAAAAACTGGACGTTCTGAGAACATTCAGAAATAACGTTATTTGTAACCTAACGGTAATGTTAGAAAAATGTTCTCAGAACATATTTTCATTTAGCTGGGTAGTTCTTTAAATCTATTCCTCTGTAAAACATCTGAATCAATGATTAACAATCCTATGAAACAACTGTCTAAAAGGTTTAATAAAATCATAATATGGTTGGTTGCTGAGGTGTTCTGAGCTTTATTATCTTCAAAATTAAACCTCAGCTCTGATGGAAAGAGTTTCAGTGTTTGCTTTGTGTGGAGCTCTGAAACATTCAATGTTTATTTGAATCAATTCCAATGTCATTTCCATTTAAAAATCACAATGGAGGCAAGTAGACACCACAAAACCATTATTGAGCTGTTAGTTTACGGACCTCAAGATTAAACTCACTTCTCAAAAGTGTCTCATAGGCCCTAATGAGAGCATCATTTAGCACTTACCGAACACTTACTGTACACTAGTGGTTTTATTGCTCTGTTGAGAATATGCAGCTGTCAGACGTTACTAATGCAAATCACACTAATGCTAATGGATCTCTGATAGTGGCTCAGTAACTATGCTTTCTGAAGTAATTACATTTCGTTTGCTATGCTGCGCTGTTGTCAAGTGAGGACATCCATTTGGCATAAAAACAGAAGTTTGGCATTTTCAATTCAATTTTGAACAAAAATGTCTTAGCTTTTGGCAGTTTGATCAAATAGTAAGTCAAGAAGTAGATATTAGGGGGGGGGAGGGGGTGATATTATGATCTGATGATATTTTTGTATCAAAAATTGTGATATTATGATCTGATGATATTTTTGTATCAAAAATTGAGATTTTGCTGAATAATATTTCTGTGTAAAATATGCAATATTTTATTTTTCAGTATTCTTTGATGAACAGAAAGTTCAAAAGAACAGGATTATTCAAAATCTTTTGTAACTTTAAAAATGTCTTCACTGTCACTTCTCTTTCAATCACTTTAATGCATCCTTGCTAAATAAAAGTATATTAATTTCCACAAAAAATGTGCCTCAGAACAACTGTTTTCAGCATTGATAATAATCAGAAATGTTTCTTGAGCAGCAAATCAGATATTAGAATGATTTCTGAAGATCATGTGACACTGAAGACTGGAGTAATGATGCTGAAAATTCAGCTTTGATCACAGGAATAAATTACATTTCAACAGATTTTCACAGAAAACAGTTCTTTTAAGTTGTAATAATATTTTAACATTTTTCTGTTTTTACTGTATTTTTTGGTGAGAAGAAGAAACATCTTAAATTAAAAAATCTTAATAATTCCAAACTTCTGACCAGTAGTTTCGGTCATGCATGCATGCAAAAATAGCATGTTTTGGATGCATATTCTATACTGCAGAAATCTGAATGGTGCTTGTGTCAATTGTTTTCCCGAAAATAGGACAATGTCTGGGTGAAATGAAGTGGTTCAGTGGATTCAGTTCTGGGATGTAGATTCAACACTGTTCCCTTGGGAAAGACACTTAGTCAAATTGAAATGCAGTTCAAAACCAGTTTTTCTTGCAAAGTCTGATTAATTTATGAGTCAAGAAAGGATGTTCAATGAGAGAAAAATGCAGGTCCAGGCTTGATTATCCACTGGGAATTGGTTGGATCATGAAAAGGGCTGTTACTTACTAGAATGGAGTCAGATGGAAGATCATTTTTAAAGATGGGGCAAGTTTAGCATGAAACAGTGATCAGCTAAAACATGTTTGGTGGTTTTTCCTGCAATACCGTCATCATGATGTTAGTGGAAAAGGAAAGCGAGTTACTGCATTTTGATTGAAAGATTATGAAGGCAATGCAGTCGTTCTGAGCAGCATGTGTAAAGAAGGTAAACGCAACCGGTATTTAAACTCCAGATTTCATTCTTTGTTTTGTTTGAGATCACTGCAATATATTGAGCCAATATTAATGACATTCTCAGGATTGTAAGAGATGCGTGCTTTCATCAAAAGCAATATGTGAAGAGAGTCTAGGAAATACTGGACATGTTTGGCAACTTGAGCAGATGGAAATGATTTAGAGAGTTTGAAATCATATTTTCAAGCACAAATCACAGTTGCTGAAGTGCTTTGGTTTGCTAAGAAACACAATGACTGACCGCAGTCAGCATGTTGTGCAAATATTTATATGAGTTAGCATGCTAAAATGACAAAATTCTGTTATGTCAGATGGAAATTCTGAGATGTTTTGTTCATAAGTAAACATCCTATTGGATCATTAGGGACTGATGGGTCACTTTCACTGCTCAGACCGTGGACACTTCACACATACCAAATGTGTTAACACATGAAGAGGGTAAAAATAGTTTCTAAGCTATATCACCATTCTCCAGTTGGCTAAAAATTGTGAACTTTCTGTATTACAAGTTTTCTGAAATGTTCTGTTTAAATATACAACGGAGGCATTATCTAATTTAATCTGAACATTGGATAAAGTCTAAAAGTTCAAAATTCTTGTTTGATTTTGATTATGATTTTGTTGACATACTAGAGTTAAAGGCTTTTACAGGGCGGATTTTGAATTTCTCTTTTCATCACTCCACAAATCAGAAAATAAATACTGTCAACAGACAGAAAGAAGTGCTATGTTTTTAGGAATGAAATGTTGTATAAAACCAGGCGAATGATATATGCATAAACCCCTAAGTAAAAACCTTCATAGAAGTAAAACTGTACGTTTTGTGTGGAAGTGCTGCTGAAGCGGAGATGAAAACTAAAAACATATGCTGTAATAGAAATCTACAGCTGTAAATAGACAATAAAATAAATACTTAAATGTGTATTTTGCATATTTTGTTTCCACTACACTCTTAAAAATAAAGGTGCTTCACGATGCCATAGAATAACCTTTTTGTCTAAATGGTTTCATAAAGTACCTTTAACATCTGAAGAACCTTTCTGTTTCACAAAAGCTTCTTTGTGGCGAAAGAAGGTTCATCAGATTATAAAAAAGTAAGAAAGATACGGTTCTTTAAAGAACCTTTGACTGAATGGTTCGTTGTGGAACCAAAAATGGTTCTTCTATGGCATCGCTTGAGGAACCTTTTGAAGCACCTTTATTTTTAAGAGTGTAGTCTGAAACATGTTATGAAAAGCCAAATAAAACAATGTTTTTGCCTGTAGTATCCCACCTGTAATGTTTTAATTTACATTCAGTTTACATGCATAGCTGATCAGAGCTGCACAAAGCAGTTTAATTGTAAGAAATGCTCTCAAGATAAATAATGCTTAATATATTGTTCATTTTAGTGCATTAGGTTTTGTTGACTGCTGCTTTTGTTTTTTATTGCATGAATACGTTCAGTTCAGAAAGTCACAGACCCTGTGAGGAAATAATGAGATGAAAAGGCCAGACAATTAAAAGCTTCAGGACGTTTTTTGGCTGAATTACAACTTCTG